TACAACAAGGAGCTCGTCTCCTGGCCGAAGCACGTGGCTCCCGTCCCGACGGCCGACCTCGTGTCTGAGGCTGATCGTTCTACGTTGTCAGGGTGGAGGCATCAAATGCTACGTGACCCTGCTGATGCAGCTGCTCTCAGGAAGGACTCGGGACTGGGGTCACCCTATGTGGATCCACGCCTTCGGTTTCGACCTCGGGAGTATGCTGATTTTCTGCTACGACTCGACCAGGCTGGCATGCTTGAGTGGGAGGTCGCCGATCGTCAGGCTACCTTTTCTATTGGCTTTTTCTTCGTCGAGAAGTCCAACGGCGTCAACCTGCGGCTCGTCTTTGACACGCGGGTGGCCAACATGTCCTTCTCGGCCCCTCCTTCTACGAGATTGCCGACTCCGTCGGCATGGGGCGCACTCGAGGCCGACCACGACTTCTACGTTGCCCAGGGGGACATTCAGTGCGCATTTTACCATATGAAGCTACCGCCACATCTGCATCGATATTTTTCTCTGCCCGTCGTCCCGAATCGGTACTTGGGCTTCAAGCGGCTCAACGGTGTGGTCATCGGGGCGGACGCCTTTCTGCAGCCGTTCGCCTCCGTCATGCCGATGGGCTGGTCATGGGCCCTCCACTTTTGCCAGTCCGCCCTGACCACGGCCATCCTCGACTCGGGAATCGACGAGAGCTCCATGCTGGTGGATGGCGCCGCCATCCCTCCGCTGCGGAAGGACTCCGACGTCATCGGCGCAGGTTACGTAGACAACTTTGCCACCGTGTCCCTTGACCCCGAGGTGGCCACGACGGCCTGCCAGGCCATACGCGACGTGCTAGTGTCGAGGGGTCTGCCCGTTGACGAGTTCGCCCCCGCAGCCAAGCGCGTGGTCTTCACTGGCTTGGACATCCTCGGCGACGCCGGCGTCGTCCGCTGCAAGATCGACAGGCTCTGCCGGTTGCGTCAAGCCTTGCTCGGTCTACTGAGACGCGGCTTTGCATCGCCCTTGGCCTTGTCAGCAGTGGTGGGTCACTGTACGTGGGGTATGATCACCAACAGACCCATGCTGTCGATCTTCAACTCAGTCTACCGCTTCATGGGGTTGGAATCCCGAGTGGCCGTGCCGCTGTGGCCGTCGGTCGTCGCCAGGCTGCGCGCGGCGGCCGCCCTCGCACCGCTATGGCGGGCCGACGTTAGAGCACAGTGGTCGGCGACTACCTTCTGCAGCGACGCCTCCCCCTACGGCATCGGGGTCTGCCGCAAGACCGTCGACCAGGAGGTCGCCGCGGCCGCAGGGCGCTTGTCTGAGAGATGGCGCTATCGGTTCTCCGACGCCGTGCACGCCCGTGCCCACGCGCTCAGGATCGAGCCTCGCTTTGTGTTAGAAGCTACCGTGGACAAAAGTTGTCTCGAAGAATGCCGCCTCAGTACGAAGCCTCCTAAGATCCCTGGGGGACCTCCGTCTACGGCGTCATCGTTACATCAACCAGCGGACGCTGCTGCCTTCGACGGCTTCGATGAGGTTCCCGACTCGATCACGGCTTCCGACGGCTGGGCCACGATACACAGTTCGCGTCATTCAAGGTTCGGCTTGGACATTATGCGATACGAGGCGGAGGCTCTCGGGTTTGCGATGCGACACTCGGCTCGGTCTGGACGGCTTCGTCATCATCGCATCTTGTTCACCGTTGACAATTTGGCTCTAGCTCTTGCCGCTGGCAAGGGCCGTTCTGGCGCCCGAGGCCTCCGCGACCCTCTACACCGACTATGCGCCCTGTCGGCGGCCACAGGCACCCGCCACGCCATTCGGTGGATCCCCAGTGAAAGCAATGCCGCGGACTCGCCGTCCAGGACAGGCTTCTTCGTCGGGCCGACCTTCGAGGAGCACCAGGCCTCTGCATCCCGAACTTCGAGGGCATCGGACCACGCCGCTGGCGGAGCAGAGGACCAGGACCCACCCTGGGCCCGTGATGCTCGCCCGAGGGGCCCCGTCGGTGCTGGAGTCGGCCGCCGCGTCGGACACGACCATGGCCAACTACTGGGACACTGCCAAGAAGTTCGAGGAGTGGTGCCGCTCGAAGTCCCAGACGTGCGCCACGACGGGGGAGGTCGGTGTCATCCTAGTTACCTACTTCGTGAACCGCTTTCTGAACGGCTTCGACAGTGCCACGGGCCGTGTACTCATGCCCGCTCTGGAGCACTACCTACCCGCGACCCTTGCTGGCAGGGCCCCGTGCCCACAGGCGGCTCGCGCCTTGACAGGCTGGCGGGAGCTCGTGTTCCCACTGACGCGTCTCCCCTTACCTCGAGCGGCGACGGCCTCCATCGTGGGCGTCCTGATAGCGTGGAAGCTCTTCGGCGTGACAATGTTCATCGGGCTGATGTTCGACACCTATCTGAGGCCGAGCGAGGCCCACCGCCTTACGGCGAAGAGCGTGATACGACCTCGACCCGTACACGACGAGGGCCCCACCGACGGCCTTTGGACCGTCGCCTTCGACGCGGTGCGGGGCATGTGCCGTCGAGCAGCAGCCGCCCTCGGTCTGGAGATCGAGTTGATTCTCTACTCGCTTCGTCATGGGGGTGCGTCCGTCGACCTGCGGTCGCTCAGGCGCACGACGCGCGGGGTCAAGGACCGCGGCCGCTGGATGACGGACCAGATCCCTTGCCGCTTCGCGAAGCGGGCCCGCATGCAGCAGCGGATCGCCAGCCTCGGCCAGAACATCGTCGAGTTCGACGATCAGGTGGACTGGCAGAAGAACGACTTCATCCTCCAGACCACGGCCTCGGGCGTCTTCCCACGGCAGGTTCCACGGGCAGTGACGCCGACGCCGCCTGCGGTCAGGCCAGCGCCCGCACCGATCACTGCACGGCGGGCCTTCGCCTGACGCGCCTGTGGCGCGCTGCCAGGCGGGCTTCTACGAGAAGCATGTACTGCCCCGCGCTGGTGCTCGGCTGCGGCGGAGGGGCGGCACGCGCCCTGCAGCGGATGGGCTTCGGCGTCGTGCATCTCGACACGAGTCGCCACCCTGGTGACGACATCACCGATCCCGCAGTGATGCGGCGCGTCTTAGGCTGGATTCGTTATAACTGCATCTCGTGCATATGGGTGGAAACCGACACCGCCACCTGGTTTCGTCATTCGCCTGCTGTTCGTTCTAAGCTGTATCCTCGCGGCCTCCCGACCTTGACCAACTTTAAAGCTCGATCTGTTTACATCGCCAACCTTTTCCAAAATCTGTACTTGCACGTCCTGTCTGAATGCTGTGGTAAGAAAGTGCCCGCCATATTGTGCCACCCCGGCGCGTCTTTTATATGGGATGGCCGTGCGTGCACCTCTCTTGTGAGACAGAGTTTTTCTTCGACTGTTTTCGACTCTTGCATGTACTCTGGCCGCGTCAGGAACAGATTTCGTCTTGTTGGCTGGAACGTGAAAGATATTGATTGATAGGCTATCCCTGACCTGTTCACCTGTTGCCTCGCCGTGCCGTCGCACTCGGAAGCGACATCTCGGTGAGTTAGGCATCCCATCGTTAGACCGTCAGATGCGCAACGCTGCGCGCCACCCTCCTGTCTGTGTACTACGATGCGCATGTGAAATGATGGCCAACAGTGTCGATAGCCTCCGATACGTCTCCCGACTATCTAGATGTGTGTGAGTTTTCATTCAAGTTTTGCGGCTTGCAGCCAGTGTCTTGGACTAGCCATAATACCTGGTGCTGGCCCCTGCGGCATCAGATTTCGTGTCCTCGCCTGGCGCCCCTTTGCACAAAAAGAATCGTCTGGCCACAGAGTCGTCCACATTATGCTGCCCGCAGCTATTTGTGGCTCTCTTTCGGGCCGCGCTTCCATTCTCAAGTCTCTCCCTCCCCCCCTTTGTTCCCAACTAAAGAATGTTTCTTTGGCCTGGTGCTGGCCCCTGCGGCATCAGATTTCGTGTCCTCGCCTGGCGCCCCTTTGCACAAAAAAGAATCGCCTGGCCACGGAGTCGTCCACATCATCATCATCATCATCATCATCATCATCATCATCATCATCACCACCATCCGCCTCCGCCTCCGCCTCCCCCTCCTCCTCCTCCTCCTCCCTCCTCCTCCTCCTTCTCCTCCTCCTCCGCCGCCTCCTCCTCCTCCTCCTCCTCCTCCTCCTCCTCCTCCTCCTCCTCCTCCTCCTCCCCCTCCTCCTCCTCCCCCCCTCCTCCGCTTCCTCCTCCTCCACAGCTACTCAATATGAATATATTCTCCCTCTTCCCCTGATGGCGTCCGGGTGATAGCCGCGCACCCTCCGCGTACTGTTTTTTTACACACAGGATGCCCGGGAAATCCCGGGAAACGACTCTCGCTGAGGCGCCGGCGTCATTTTTTCCCAAAATGCTGCTCTCGTTGAGGCGCCGGCCTCATTTCTGCTCCCGAATCGTTCCGAATCGTGCTCCCGCTGCAGCGTGGGCCTCATTTTCGGATCGGTGTTTGGCCTCCGTCGTTCAGGATGGCGTTCTCGCCCCAGCGCGGGCCTTTTTCTCGCGCGCCCATCCGCCCGCCACCACCGCGCCGCACCGCCACCACCACCACCACCACCACCACCACCACCACACCACCACCAGCACCAGTACCACCACCACCACCACCACCACCACCAGCACCACCACCATACCACCACCACCACCACCACCACCACCACCACCACCACCACCACCACCACCACCACCACCACCACCACCACCACCACCACCACCACCACCACCACCACCACCACCACCACCACCACCACCACCACCACCACCACGCACACACGCACGCACGCACGCACGTGCACCACCACCCACTACGCACGCGCGCGCGGAGCCACAGGTCCGCTACGACACGCGTCCGCGGATAGAGAAAATCAGCGCCATGGTAAGGGATGGGAGGGAGGGGTAGGACGTCAGATATGACGCGAGCGCACCTAGCCTGTCCTTCCCCCCTCGCCCGCCCCCCCTCGCCTCCCCCGCCCCGCCGCCCCCACCCCCCCAACGAGGCCCTGCGGCGGCCGACCGCGTCGCTCCCGCTCCACTTCGCGCCGCGGCGCCCGGCCGTGGGTGTGCACGTGAGGCGCCTCCCCCGCCGCGCGTTTCGGTAGGGGGGGGGGTCGCCACTCCTCCTCCTCCTCCTCCTCCTCCTCCTCCTCCTCCTCCTCCTCCTCCTCCTCCTCCTCCTCCTGCTCCGCCTCCTCCTCCTCCTCCTCGTCCTCCTCCTCCTTGTCCGCCTCCTCCTCCTCCTCCTCCTCCTCCTCCTACTCCTACTCCTCACGGGGGGTCTGCCGAAGGCGCTCCATGGCCCCAGGGCTTACGTAAGTCGGGCCCGTCCCTCTACAGGAGGAAGGTTCAAAAGTAGTCAGAAACCAGTCTGGGGGCGACCTTTTGATTATTTCTGCATATGTTCGGCGCATTGTTTGCCTATGTTGTATTTATCGTCCAAAATCCGCCTCGAGGGGGGACATGCCCGACCTAACCCCAGGGTTTGGCGGCTCCCAGGAGGGGGCGGCACGAGGGCGGGCCAGAGTGTCTGTTTCTTGGAGGCCCCCCCCGCCGTGATCGGGGATTGCTGGAAGTGTCCTTGGTCCAGGGTGTCCTCAGCTTTTCGCTCCACATCGGGGACGTGAGGCTCCAGGCCTCCCAAATGGGGTCCGAGTCGATGGAGTCGGATGTCGCGCCGCATCGCCGATGCATTGGCGATGCGATTCGATATGGCTCAAGGTTTGGTTCAAGGTGCCGCGCCAACAGTAATCTTCCGCTACCATTCCCTACTTTACGATTCCATCGTGATGTACTATTCGGGCGGTGGCAAAACGCACGCGCCAGGCACCCCGGTCATGCAGCTGTTCAAGGATTCCCTTCATTCATGTTTTTCCACCTTCGCCGCAGCCAACTGAGGGGAGGGCAAAACAGCATCGGATCCACAGCCCACTACAGGAAATTTGCGGACTGGACGGCGTTGCTTTCACGAAAGAGCTACAGCATCAAGCTCCGGCGCGCCAGCTTGACGCCTATGGCATTCAACCGGAAAATATAGGCAACGGAAAAATGCCGTTGGCCTCCATTGTTCGGGAGATGGACGGATTGATTGGGGGGCAATTGAAACGGATACTACGCGAACAATTGCAGCCGATCCATAACGACACCCAGACCATACAGAAGGACGGAGTTTCTCAACAAGACCTACGGGATGCAATGCAGCCCCTTCCTGCGGCCATCAACGAGATTACCGACAGGGTCTCAGCTCTCCAAGCAGACCCTTCATACCCAGCATCTGTTGGCATCAGGTCGCACGCAGCGTGGACAGCACGTTTTGCCAACGCGGCGCGGCAGAGGTAATCTGTTCGCGCGTCAGAGGGCGAAACTCAACGAGCCCGAACGTCACGGAGTTGCATTCGCCACGAACCAACATGTGGAAAGCAACGCAGTTGTCGGAGGTCTGGGTGATTTTGCAAATACGGAGGCAGCCGTTGATTTCCTGAAGCAGCAGTTCGCTCGCTTCAAGCCGCCAGAATACGTAGACACCTTCACGAAAGGCGACTTCAACAACATCCTTATCGCGAAATTCAGCAACAAAGACGCTCGGGACAAGTTCGTCACCATATTTGCTAAGGCGCAGCTTGCTCATAATTGGGGACGGTATCCTGTCTAGGGCCGACCAGCGCATCGAGAAACGAGTACCAGAAAGTTCCTTGTTCGGGCTGCGCAAGCAATTTCTGGATTGGGGGGGTGGTGCGGGGGGGGCAGGGGGTGTTTGGGGGGGTGCGTCGACCCCCACTCGCCCACTCATCGCAATCATCGGCTCGATATCAGGGTGTGCCTGCGAGGCATCTTCGGTGCCAGCTTGAAGCCCCCCCCCGCCGAGCCAGGCCCCCCTTGCGACTGCCCCGCACAGGAGTGTCCCTTACCCGAGGTGTCCACGGCGACTCGCTCCATTTTGGAGGGCTTCGTGGGGGTGCTCTGTGGGCCTCGTGAGGGGCCTCGTGAGGGGCCTCGTGTGGGGCCCTGGGGTCCTGTGGGCCTCGTGCGGGGTGCTCCGGAGGCCTTGGGGGCCCCCTTGGCAGTCTTGGGGGCGCTCTGGGGCCAGGAGCACCTCTGACAGCCCCCCCCCCTGCACGAGCGAGAGGGGCATTTTTGATGGAAGCGTGCCCTGGGGGGGGTGCAAATCGGGGGCTTTGGCAGTTCTTGGGGTTTTGCCATACTCACAGGACATTTGGGGACGTCTGGGTATTCCAAATCCCTTATGAATCGTCCCCCGGGTCCCGTTTTTTCAGGCGCCTGCCTCGTAATTGGGGGGGGTCCGTTTATTGGGGCGCTTTCTTTGGATTGGAGCTTGGGGGGTCTGGTGTATGAAGGCGCCTCGTCGACGAGGGGGTGCGGAATATTGAGTCGCACTCGGAGGGGGCTCCAGTTTTTTAGGGGGGGTCGATTAGTAAGGGATTGTGACATGCTCGAGTGAGGTCGACGCAGTGGCGACCCCAGCGTGGGCGTTCCAGGTGGATCGCTGCCCCAGAGGGCCGCACACACGGGCGCGCACTCGAGCGATCTGTGTTATATTGGATCACCACCCACCAAACCACCCCAACCCAACCCGAAGGCTCAGATTTACCCTCGATTTCCAGTGGGGGGGGGGAGTAGGGAAACATCGAAAAAACACATGTGGAACCCTTACCCCCCCAACCCGAAATTCGGGTCTTCGGGTTGGGTTGGGGTGGTCTGGCAGGTAGTCGTTGGAGGGCCGTGATTTTTCGAGGCGGAGCGATCTGCGCGGTGTCCGAAGCCAGCGCTCGAGTCGTCGCGACACGGCTCGGCCGTAGCATGAAGTCGGGCCTGTCCCCCCACAGGAGGAACCTTCCCAAATAGTAAAAAGCATAGTCAGGAGATTTTTGTCTGAGCAGGTTTCATATATTCGAATATGTTTGAGTATTTTCCATTGTTCGTCCCGACTTAACCGTAGCAGGCGGGACGGGCGGAGCGAGAGAGAGGGACGCAGGAGGATCGGAGGGAAAAAGGCCTTGCTCCTCCACTCCCTCGTGCCACCCCTTTCGCCTCTGCAGACCTCCCCCCCCCCTCCTCCCCCATCTCCTTTTTCCTCCTCGGCTCCGTCCTGAGTCCGCCCTCCGCCCCTCGTTGCCCTCTCTCCTGCCCCCTCCTCTCCCGAGCCCAGCCACAGGCGCGGCGACCTCCCCAAGAGCAGTGTCCGCGTCGTTCCGGAGGGGCGGGTCGGAAGGGTGTGTTTCGAGGGGATTGGGTGGCAAGGACTGGGCGCGTGTGAGGTGGTTTAAATGAACGAGCGCAGGTCTACGCGTTTAGCTTTGCGCCAGCGCTGTTTTCTGCCATTGCACGGCGCCCCAGACTGCCGAAGGAAGCCTCAAGATGGCTTCAGGACCGCCTCGAGAGGACCTCGAGACGGCCCAAGATGGCCCCAATACGGCCCAAGATGGCATCCAGGCGGCGCCGAACCTGAGGTGCAAGGGAGCACCGGGGGGTGCGCTGCGATGTCAGTGGAATTGATGAAATCGGACACGACGCAGCTACAGGACGGTAGTGACAGTCGAACGACGAAGCGCCACATGTGGTTCATATACGGACGAGATGTAATGAATATAAGCCATTTTCGTTTCGCGAGGAGGGTAGGGGGTTAGGGAGATCGCAGGAGCATTGATGCGCTGGGCCATCCCTAGGAAGTGGTAAGTTTAAGTTAGTTGGTTTATGTGGTGTGATCTCCGTGCAACATGTTGGTCGTTGATTGTTCACATTGGGGCGTTTCAGAACGGCCTCGCCTTCGAGGGTCGAAGGAGTTGACATCTTTTCCTCGGCGGAGGGCGACGCAACAGCGGCGGAAGCCCGCGCAAGCAAAGCGGAGGCGGAAGCTGGTCGGCGGAACGGCGGCAGACGCTGGCGGAATTGAAAGATGCCCCAGCTCCCAAGGGATGTCAACATTTTTTGGCCCAGGGTTGTCGGAACAAGGTCTGCGTCGCAGCTTGGACCACCCTGCATACAACACGGTTTTCTCGCATGTTTGAGATGACCATGACGATTGGGAGCGACACTGTGTTTGCGAGCATCAGCGAAAACGTCAGAACACCACAGGGTCAGTGAACGCCAGCCTTCGTGAGCAGCTCGTGGCTTGAGAGCATCTCCCTCCTTCCACTGGTCCCCCCCATGCCTCCATCGTGCCGGGAGGAGTCGGCAAGAGTGTGGAGGGCAGATGAGTGCGGAGGACTTGATTTGCGATTGCGGAGGACAAGGCGTGAGGTTGACGCAGAGTGGAGTGTGGAGGAATGCGGTGTAAGGAGGAAGAGAAGGGAGGAGCGAAACGGAGTTAGGGCGACTGCAGGGGAGGGCGAAGGAATTGGGCGCAACGGACTCGGGAGGAGCGAAAAGGAAGGTTGAGGACAAGGCAGGGATAAGTGCGGAGGAACGCGGATGAGGGCCGAAGACCAGTGAGAGGTGCGACGGAGTTGGGAGAAGTGTGGAGGAATACTGTAGTTACATGGATGAGGGGGATGATGAAACCAAGGAGGAGCGGGAGGGGGAGAGGAGGAGGTGGAGTGGGAGGGGGGGCACGGGAGGGCGCACAGCAGGATGACGAAGAGGGGGAGAACTGCGAAGAAGACGACAACGACGACGACGACGACGAGAGTGCAGGCCTGTCAGGAGCAGGAGGGCGACGATGCAGGTCACGATGCCTCGGTACACGCGCGCCCTGTCTCAGGAGCCACCCAGGTTATAAACACTGTTGTGTTGCTGGGATGAAGAAGATGAAGATGACTGCCTCAGCGCCATGGAGAAGATGAAGACTGGGCGGCCCCGCGCCTTCTCCCGCAGACGCTGCGGTGTGCACAGGCGCTGTGGTTCACGCAGGCAGCGTCAGGCACCCCAGCGTTGTGTTGCACACGGCTGCTGCGGTGTACAGAGGCGCTGTGGTGTACGCAAGCGCTGTGATGCACGTTACACCGACGCTTTGTCGCACGCGGCTGCTGTGGTGTACGCAGGCGTTGTGGTGTACGGAGGCGTTGTGGTGCACGCGTGTAGAATCTTCAGGCGCTCCACTTTCCGTGAGGGTTCTTCTACGCCATGTGTATAAAAGTCTTGTTCTTTGTGTAATCCAGACGCGCCCCACTGACCATAGGGACTGTCAAACAGCAGTGGTCTGTGGAATCTAGAGGCGTTTCGCTTTCCATAGCGATCCCTTTTCATATTTTATGTATATACACCACAGTTGTGTGTTGTGGAATCCAGAGGCGCTCCATTTTCCATTGGGATTATTTTAGTAGTCCTGTTAGAATAAATGGTTGTGTGTAGAATCCAAGAGCGCTTCACTTCCCACGGAGATTTATCTCAAAATGTTAAGTATGATTTTTGTTTTCTGTGGAATCCTGAGGTGGTCCAGTTTCACATTGCTGGCGTTCTGGTGCGCGCAGGCATCGCGGTGTGCACGGGTGCTGTTGCGCACACGGCTGCTGCAGTATACACAGGCAGTGCGGTGTGCATAGGCGACGTGGTGCCGCAGTGCACGCGGCTGTTGTGGTGTACGGAGGCACTGTGGTGTGTACACAGGTGGCGCTGTGTTGCACGCAGGCGTTTCGCATTGTCGTGTACACAGGGAGTGCGGTGCACACAGGCGATTGATGCGCCGGTGGCGCGGACGCACCCTGGCGGGCGCACGCAGCGTCGCCGTTACCGTTACCCCTCCCCGGGTAACGGCCGTTACCCAGGAAACCGAAAAGAACTGCAATTTTTTATGGATGGGTATAGGTTTTGTTTTAAAAGAGTTCACGTTATCAATCTCGAATCGACGGGTCCTGTTCGACATCGATTCCAACCAACTCGGTACGATTCGACACCAGCTTTCTGACCATCCGATATGGCCCGAGGCTTGTACGGCGTTGTTGTGCATCGTGGCGCGGCGGATCCGACCGGGTCTTGGTTCCGTGCCGATGCAGACCGATCTGACGATTTCCCGATTCGATGCGGGAGTCTTGGTTTTGTATGAAGCAGTCGTGGGCTCGGCTTGGGTAACCCGCGTGCTCGTGTCGGGCCCTACAGCGACGTGCCGGTCATTCGACGTAGTTCTGAGGGTAGTTCCATGCGTTGTTCGTATCCTTTTTGAGGGAGGGGAAGTCATCTGGGCTGCGAAAGTCCTTGCGTCCAGTAAGCTTGAGGCCCCCTGGGATCCTGCTATTGTTGCTCCATCTGAATACTAAATACTACTTTCCAATTTCTTTCCCTCTTCGGATTTTGTTCGAGCGGGGCTCCTTCTCTTCCGCATGCTGTGTTGTTAGACAGATGGTTTACAGCATTGATTGGCCATGTGGTGTTTTATCGGTCGAAATTGGTCAGGTTAAGAATGTTTTTCCTGCTGTAGCAGTGGCCTCATTTCAGGATCGGCGATTTGCTCCCGTCGTTATGAATGGCGCGCTCGCCCCCGCGCATGCCACATTTCTAGATCCGAGTGCTTCCTCGTCGATGTCGCCCCGAACATGTCCCCTCCCCAACCTACCCATGGTCTTCCCGCTCCTCTGGGTCCTGCTCGTGCCGCTGTTATTCCTCCTCCGCGTCCTTATCTCTTCTCCTCCCCCTCCTCCTCCTCCTCATTATTATCCTCCTCCTCCTCTTCCTCCCGCCCATCTTCCTACTCATCCACCACCTCCATCTCCAAGGTGCACAGCTCCACTTCTGGTTGTCCATAACACGATGGTGTCAGTTTGGTGCTCCAGGTCCGCACTGAAACCGTCTCGACGATACAAGAAGGCAGCGTGTAGGGCAGGGATGGGCGGAAAGGGTAGGATGTAAGATCTGATGCGAGCGTGCTAAGCTTGCCCCCCCTCTCCCCCTTTTCTCTCCGACCACCCGGTCACCTCCGTCGTCTTGATTTGACGCGATCGCGCCCATGTTGGCACGCCCCCCTGTGGCGAGGACGAGTACTACCTAGGCCTGATAGACGCGGTGAGGAGCGTGATCCCCGAAGCGGACGTACACCTCTGGAGCGCGCCGTCCCCGCCGGGCGCACCGCTTGCCTCCAGGCCCCCTGCCCGGGCGGCAGCCGAGATGGGGCCGGGATGCGTCGGCAGGCGCTCGCCGGACGCCTGCGACATCTCAGAGAAGGTTTGTGGGCATGAGTCCTGGTGCATTCCTCCCTCCTCCTCGTCCTCCTCCTCCTCCCTCCTCCTCCTCCTCCTCCTCCTCCTCCTCCTCCTCCTCCTCCTCCTCCTCCTCCTCGTCCTCCTCCTCCTCTTTCTCCTCCTTATCCTCCTCCTCCTCCTCCTCCTCCTCCTCCTCCTCCTCCTCCTCCTCTTCATTGTCGAATGCGCCTGCGGCGAGTCACCGCTTTCCCCTGCCTTTGGGGGGCGCTGGTGCCACAGAAAGTCGAGCGGCCATGCGTGGATTGCGCGTTCCCCCCAGCTGTCGGGGGAGGCCACCGTCACAGCGGGGCCAACCATAGCACGCAAGTAACAGTAACCGTCCGTCTTCTGCTAGGGCCCGCGGGCATGACCTTGGGGGTAAGATTGGAGCGCAGTGGATGCACCGTACAATCCGTGCCGACGTAGGCCCTCGCCCAGCTTGAAAGCCTCGACAGGGTCGAGTCAGGATATGTCAGGATTGCCACTGTAGCCCACCTACTATGGTTGGCCCTTCTTTGAAATTGCGGGGAACACTGGGAGTAGCAGTATTGGGGCTGTCTTGGGACTCTTTTGGGGAGCTACCTGGTGCTCTCTTGGGCCATCCAGGGGCTTTTCGGGGCCGTCTCAGGGCGCCCTTGGGCAGTATGGTGCATTCGGGTGCCATCTTGGAGTTTTTTTCTGAGTTCTTTTTAAGGCCTTTATGGCCGTCTTGGAGCGCTCTCGGCTCATCTTGGGGCCCTCTTGCGCCCTCTTGGTTATGCATCGGGCCGCCTTGGGCTGGTCTGGGGTCCTCTTGGTCCATCGTGGACGACCCTACGAGCGAGAAGGCGCGATTCCGAAATACAGTGGGTCACCTCAGGTTTTTCGATGCCGACCTCGAGGGCCACCCGTGCGCCAAAGAGACCCCCAACCCTGACTCCAGATCCGCCCTACTTTGGCTTTTTTCCAACTTAACATTGCGTCGGAAATCCACCTAGGAGAGGCCGAAAAAGTAAGGCGGAAATTCCTGCACCCAACATAAAATAGGGCGGAAATCCACAGAAACAGCAACAGAAAAGTGGGGCGGAAATTGGCACCAGCGGGGCTTGAAAAGTAAGGCGGAAATTCCAAGCCCCACTTACGAATTTCCCCAAAGTAGGGCGGATCCGGAGTCAGGGGACCTCGAGGGCCAGCCGTGCGCCAAAGAGACCCCCAAGGAGGCCTCTTGGGCAGTTTTGTCCCCACACTGGCGTACAGCCGTGGCAGCGCACCAGAGAGGCCTTGCTGGGCCGTCGCGGGAGCCACCCGGGCCATCCTGGAGGCGCGTGCTCCTGCTCTTGCTCCTTCCTGCACGGGGCCCTGGGACACACAAACAGATACACACAAATAACAGGAATCCCCATGTTTCCCATATATATATATATATATACATATATATATATATATATATCTGTATATATGTATTGGGTTTCTGTCTTCCCCCCCACTGCCCATATTTTCCCATGTTTTCTGGGGCATCGACGATGGATTGTGTCTGTGTGTGCGTTTTTTCGTCCCTCCTGATTCCTGTCCACTTTGTTCCGTCCTCCGCTCCCGCGGCCGCCCTGCGGCGGCGGGCGGCACGGGCCGAGGCAGGGCCGGCAGGGCAGCAGTGCAGCACTGGGCACGCCAAGCGTGAAGTCGGGCCTGTCCCCCTGCAGGGGGATTTTCGACGAAACATAAAAACTACTCCCAAAATAAGCAAAAAACAAATAATACAAAAATAGTCTGGGGACTATGTTTCTAGTATTGTTTGACCCTTTGGGGGGTATTTTTGGGGTATGTTTTATTTTTGTCGTCGAAAAGCCCCCTGTACGGGGGACAGGCCCGACATGAGCCCAGCGCCCCGAACGGGCGGGGCGGGGCGGCGGATCGGAGACGCCCCGAGGCGAGTCGCCGCCGCCCCCCCCCCCCTGTCCTCTGGATTCGCCCGTGCGGTCGAGCGGTGGGCGAAAGTCTCGCCAAGCTGCTGGGCCATGCGTTCCCACGGCCGTCGTGGACATCCGTGGGCCATTCTGGGGGAAGAAGAGGGAGAGGGACAGGGAGAGGGAGAAAGAGAGAGAGAGAGAGAGAGCAAACAAGCAAGCAAACAAACATCAAACAATGGAAGAGGGAGGAGGAGGAGGAGGAGGAGGAGGAGGAGGAGGAGGAGCAGGAGGAGGAGGAGGAGGAGGAGGAGAAAGAGGAGGAGGAGGAGGGAAAAGAGGAGGAGGAGGAGGAGGAGGAGGGAAAAGAGGATGAGGAGGAGGAGGAGGGGGATGAGCAGGAGGAGAAGGGGCTCCTCGGCTTTGGAAGCTTCGTGACCACCGCGGTGTAGCAGCAGGCATGGCACGTGGGCACCCCAAGTGGGGAGCCGCCAGTGGGTGTTTCACCTGCCCGTTCGCGCCCAGGCTGTGGGGATGCCTCGCGCGAGGCGCAGCGCTGGCGCCCCTGGCCCCTCTGCTTCGAGAACGCCATGGCCGCCGCGATGTCGCGGGCGCAGCGCTTGAGCACCCGAAGGGGGAGCCGCCATGGTGTGTTGTGTGTTGCCCGCTCGCGCCCAGACAGTGTGGACGCCTCGCGCGAGGCGCTTGGTTGGCCCCCCCGACTCCTCTGCTTCGAGAGCACCATGGCCGCCGCGATGTCGCGGGCACAGCGCTTGAGCACCCCCAGGGGAGCCGCCATGGTGTGTTATTGTACACTTGCTGGTTCGCGCCCAGACTGTGACGGTTGGACCCCCCACCTCTTTTCAGGCGATCGCCAACATGGATCAAGGGGGCGTAGATTAGCGACGGGTCCCGTTTCCAAGGGAAATCATGGATCTCCGCCGCCGAGCGAGGCTGCATCGGCCGCAGTATTCATGGATCGTTGATCCATGTTTGCGCGCCCCCGATTTCTAGAGTTAGGTCGTGCGTGTCCTCCCACAGGCGGATTTTGGACGACAAATTTTAAACTATCAAACAGTATTCGAGAATATTCAAAAAATACTCGAAACGTCGTCCCCAGAATTTTGTTTTTCAATTTTTGAATTTCCTCCTGTAGGGAGACAGGCCCGACTTAATTCCAGAGCCCCGTGGCCGCCGCGATCCAGCAGGCGCCGCGCTCAAGCAGACGCAGCACCGTTGGCAACTCCGGACGGGGGGTGGAGCCGCCAGGGGAGCGCTCTCGGCTGCCACGGGCCATAGTGTCCCTCGCTCGGACAGTCCGGGCCGGAGGCGCCAGGACACGAGAGGCATCTCCGCGTCGATTACCGCCCTTGAAAGCAGGTATTCTTGGAGTCCCAGATTCCGGTCTATTTTAGCCGCCATCCTACCTACATGATCGAGTGGCTTCATTTTTTCCGTCCTTTCCAGGCATGCCCATCGGACGTTGAAAGCAAGTATTCTTGGAGTCCCAGATTCCGGTCTATTTTAGCCGCCGTCCTACCTACATAATCGAGTGGTTTCACCTTTTCCGCCCTCTTCAGGCATACCCATCGGTCGTTGAAAGCAGGTATTCTTGGAATCCCAGATTCTGGTCGATTTCAGCCGCCGTCTTACCTGAAGGATCGAGTGGGTTCACCTTTACCGTCCTCTTCAGGCATGCCCATCGGTCGTTGAAAGCAAGTGTTCTTGGAGTCAAGATTCCGGTCTAATTTAGCCGCCGTCCTACCTAAATGATCGAGTGGCTTCGCCTCTTTCCGCCTTTTTCAGGCATACCCATCGGCCGTTGAAAGCAGGTATTCTTGGAGTCCCAGATTCCGGTCGATTTCAGCCGCCGTCTTACCTGAATGATCGAGTGTCTTCACATTTACCGCCCTCTTCAGGCATGCCCATCGGTCGCTGAAAGCAAGTATTCTTGGAGTCCCAGATTCCGGTCTATTTTAGCCGCCGTCCTATCTAAATGATCGAGTGGTTTCACCTTTTCCGTCCTCTTCAGGCATACCCATCGTTCGTTGAAAGCAGGTAATCTTGGAATCCCAGATTCCGGTCGATTTCAGCCGCCGTCCTACCTGAATGATCGAGTGGCTTCACCTTTACCGTTCTCTTCAGGCATGCCCATCGGTCGTTGAAAGCAAGTATTCTTGGAGTCCTAGATTCCGGTCTATTTTAGCCGCCGTCCTACCTAAATGATCGGGTGGCTTCGCCTTTTTCCGCCCTCGTCAGGCATACCCATCGGTCATTGAAAGCAGGTATTCTTGGAGTCCCAGATTCCGGTCTATTTTAGCCGCCGTCCTACTTACATTATCGAGTGGTTTCACCTCTTCCGCCCTCTTCAGGCATACCCATCGGCCGTTGAAAGCAGGTATTCTTGGAGTCCCAGATTCCGGTCTATTTTAGCCGCCGTCCGGCCTGAATGATCGAGTGGCTTCACCTTTACCGTCCTCTTCAGGCATGCCCATCGGTCGCTCAAAGCAAGTATTCTTGGAGTCCCAGATTCCGGTCTATTTTAGCCGCCGTCCTACTTACCTAAATGGTCGAGTGGCTTCGCCTTTTTCCGCCCTCTTCAGGCATACGTATCGGCCGTTGAAAGCAGGTATTCTTGGAGTCCCAGATTCCGGTCTATTTTAGCTTCCGTTCTACCTACATGATCGAGTGGTTTCGCTTTTTTCCGTCCTCTTCAGGCATACCCATCGGTCGTTGAAAGCAGGTATTCTTGGAGTCCCAGATTCCGGTCGATTTCAGCCGCCGTCTTACCTGAATGATCGAGTGGCTTCACCTTTTCCGTCCTTTTCAGGCATGCCGATCGGTCGTTGAAAGCAAGTGTTCTTGGAGTCAAGATTCCGGTCTAATTTAGCCGCCGTCCTACCTGAATGATCGAGTGGTTTCACCTTTTTCCGCCCTTTTCAGGCATACCATCGGCCGTTGAAAGCAAGTATTCTTGGAGTCCCAGATTCGGGTCTATTTTAGCCGCCGTCCTACTTACATTATCGAGTGGCTTCACCTTTCCCGCCCTCTTCAGGCATGCCCATCGGTCGCTGAAAGCAAGTATTCTTGGAGTCCCAGATTCCGGTTGATTTCGGCCGCCGTCTTACCTGAATGATCGAGTGGCTTCACCTTTACCGTCCTCTTCAGGCATGCCCATCGGTCGTTGAAAAGCAAGTATTCTGGGAGTCCCAGATTCCGGTCTATTTTAGCCGCCGTCCTACCTAAATGATCGAGTGGCTTCGCCTTTTTCCGTCCTCGTCAGGCATACCCATTGGCCGTTGAAAGCAGGTATTCTTGGAGTCCCAGATTCCGGTCGATTTCAGCCGCCGTCTTACCTGCATGATCGAGTGGTTTCGCCTTTTTCGCCCTCTTCAGGCATGCCCATCGGTCGTTGAAAGCAGGTATTCTTAGAATCCCAGATTCCGGTCGATTTCAGCCGCCGTCTTGCCTGAATGATCGAGTGGCTTCACCTTTACCGTCCTGTTCAGGCATGCCCATCGGTCGTTGAAAGCAAGTATTCTTGGAGTCCCAGATTCCGGTCTATTTTAGCCGCCGTCCTACCTAAATGATCGAGTGGCTTCGCCTTTTTCCGTCCTCGTCAGGCATACCCATTGGCCGTTGAAAGCAGGTATTCTTGGAGTCCCAGAGTCCGGTCGATTTCAGCCGCCGTCTTACCTGCATGATCGAGTGGTTTCGCCTTTTTCGCCCTCTTCAGGCATGCCCATCGGTCGTTGAAAGCAGGTATTCTTAGAATCCCAGATTCCGGTCGATTTCAGCCGCCGTCTTGCCTGAATGATCGAGTGGCTTCACCTTTACCGTCCTGTTCAGGCATGCCCATCGGTCGTTGAAAGCAAGTATTCTGGGAGTCCCAGATTCCGGTCTATTTTAGCCGCCGTCCTACCTACATGATCGAGTGGCTTCGCCTTGTTCCGCCCTCTTCAGGCATGCCCATCTGTCGTTGAAAGCAGGTATTCTTGGAGTCCCAGATTCCGGTCGATTTCAGCCGCCGTCTTACCTGAATGATCGAGTGGCATCATCTTCCCATTCCTCTTCAGGCATGCCCATCGGTCGTTGAAAGCAAGTATTCTTGGAGTCCAGATTCGGGTCTATTTTAGCCGCCGTCCTACCTACATGGTCGAGTGGCTTCGCCTTTTTCCGCCCTTTTCAGGCATACCCATCTGTCGTTGAAAGCAAGAATTCTTGGAGTCCCAGATTCCGGTTGATTTCAGCCGCCGTCTTACCTGAATGATCGAGTGGTTTCACATGTTCCGTCCTCTTCAGGCATGCCCATCGGTCGTTGAAAGCAAGTATTCTTGGAGTCCCAGATTCTGGTCTATTTTAGCCGCCGTCCTGTCTAAATGATCGAGTAGCTTCACCTTTTCCGCCCTCTTCAGGCATGCCCATCGGTCGTTGAAAGGATGTATTCTTGGAGTCCCAGATTCTGGTCTATTTTAGCCGCCGTCCTGCCTAAATGATCGAGTAGCTTCACCTTTTCCGCCCTCTTCAGGAATACCCATCGGTCGTTGAAAGCAGGTATTCTTGGAGTCCCAGATTCGGGTCTATTTTAGCCGCCGTCCTACCTACATAATCGAGTGGCTTCCCTTTTTCCGCCCTCTTCAGGCATACCCATCGGTCGTTGAAAGCAGGTATTCTTGGAGTGCCAGATTCGGGTCTATTTTAGCCGCCGTCCTACCTACATGATCGAGTGGCTTCCCTTTTTCCGCCCTCTTCAGGCATGCCCATCGGTCTTTCAAAAGCAAGTATTCTTGGAGTCCCAGATTCTGGTCCTAGCCGCCGTCCTACCTAAATGATCGAGTGGCTTCGCCTTTTTCTGCCCTTTTCAGGCGTACCCATCTGTCGTTGAAAGCAGGTATGCTTGGAATCCCAGTTTCCGGTCTATTTCGGCCGCCGTCTTACCTGAATGATCGAGTGGTTTCACTTTTTTTGTCCTCTCCAGGCATGCCCATCGGTCGTTGAAAGCAAGTATTCTTGGAATCCCAGATTCTGGTCGATTTTAGCCGCCGTTCTACCTAAATGATCGAGTGGCTTCTATTTTTCCTCCCTCTTCAGGCATACCCATCAGTCGTTTAAAGCAGGTATTCTTGGAGTGCCAGATCCTGGTCTATTTTAGCCGCCGTCCTACAATGTCCTACCTAAATGATCGAGTTGCTTCACATTCTCCGCCATCGGTCGTTGAAAGCAAGTAGTCTTGGAGTCCCAGATTCCGGTCTATTTTAGCCGCCGTTCTACCTAAATGATCGAGTGGCTTCACCTTTTCCGCCCTCTTCAGGCATACCCATCTGTCGTTGAAAGCAAGTATTCTTGGAGTCCCAGATTCTGGTCTATTTTGGCCGCCGTCCTGCCTAATTGATCGAGTGGCTTCACCTTTTCCGCTCTTTTCATTGGGCGGGCTGACACCCAATCTGCTTTTGACGCCTTCCTGCTTTCTGTTTCTGCCTATTTTTGTCCCACGGGTGGGTCAAATTGGGCAGCTCTGGTGTTTCCCCCCCTCTTTGTCCGCGGCCCTGCGTGGACGGAGAAGTCGAAGGCGATGGCGAGGAGGCACGGGGAAGAGGTGTGGCCGCAGGAAGGTATGCGATATGATGAGATGGGAGAGGAGGAGGAGGAGGAGGAGGAGGAGGAGGAGGAGGAAGACGAGGAAGAGGACGAATGGCAGCGACCACTTGTCGCGTGTCGCCAGCCGGCGGTGCTATGATTCGATGATGCCGTGGCAGTTCGGTGTAAGGGGATATTCCCGATAGGAATTTGGAGATCATATTAAGATCTAGCACGTCAGGCCGTCCTTCAGAGCTCTTTGACTTGGGGGAGCGGTGTCGTTCATATTCGTGTCCCGCGGCGAGCCGTCGGAGGAGATGGTGAAAACGGCGGGTGCTGATCTCGTACTCTCTGGCAGGAACTCGGGGATGCCCGCTTGCAAATGTGCCCAGGGCAGTCACGTCAATGCCTCCTTCTCGCCGGCGCTTCTTGTGCAATGGGACATAGATGCCCGCTTTGCGACCACCAGTTCGAACACCTCTACCATGTCAGTCCCTCCGCGCCCCTTGCGAGCGTAGATGTGGAAGGAAGGGCACTGGAACGGTTGTCGTCACCCAGAGAGGGGCGCTCGCTGGTCGGAGGGAGGGGGCTGGATCGCACGGGGCTGGGACGAGGATGAATCCGTTCCAGAGCGTCCCGGAGCGCTCTCACAGAGCGTCCGAGAGCACTCCGAGGAGGCAGCGGCGCCCGATGCATCCTCCCGAGCCGCCGGACCTTAGAGATTCTCGACTCCTCCCCCTCCTCCTCCTCCTCCTCCTCCCCCTCCTCCTCCTCCCCCTCCTCCTCCTCCTCCTCCTCCTCCTCCTCCTCCTCCTCCTCCTCCTCCTCCTCCTGGCCTCCTCTGGCGTGCACGGCGGCGAGGAGCTCCGTGGGCTCTGGGCGTGCCGCCAGCCCCTGGGCGGCCTCGGACTTCGACGGCTTCCGCGCGCGGGGTGTCGCCGTGCACCTCGACGAGGCGGGCCCCCGTCCGCGTGCCCGTCTTGTTTCGGGGGTGGACAGAACTCCCAACAGTGACACGTCGATTAGTGAATTGTCCGTTTTCGGTTCTCGAAAGGGCGCCGTCGCCGCTATTTTCCAGGCTTGCGCCCGCCAGGTTTGGGCCTCAGGTCGTTTTCATTAAACCACGTTTTACTAAAGGGGGGTCTGTCCATCCCCGAGTCTTGCTGCGGGCGGCCGGGGGGCGAGGGCTCGTGCCGATTCCTCCGGTTCGATTCTCGCTTCGATGTCGATGGCGTCCGATTCCGATTCGACTCGGCTTGGGGTGCCGATTCGGGCTCCGGTTTCTTGTGTTGGAGGCCTGTTGTTCTGCCGAATGCCGGCGACTTCCGACTTTTTCCGACTCGGCTGCCGATTTCCGCCGATCCGATTCAGTTCGATCGCCGATCCGACTCATCGATTCGATTCTGGGCTCTCCTCAGGGAGGAGGAGCCGGCGGCGGGAGAGATCAGTTGGTTATGTGAACGGAGGTTGACAACCAATGAGTCGAACCTACCGTATGATCCGTAGGTAGAGGACGATAGGGAGAAACGAGGAAGTCGCTTTCATCCATGCGCCAGTGTGTGCAGGGGCGCGCAAGATGTCCGATACCCGAGCCGGGAGGATAGCAGGATAGATGGATAGAAAGGGAATGTGAGCGGTCTTCACACACACACACGCACCGTCCCGAATCCCACCCGCTCCACGTGAGCCTCGGCCCACGGGAGACAGAGGCGGGACTCGGGAACGGAGGTGTGAGGACCACCCAACACACTCTTCTATCCCCTGCAGCCTCCCAATGAGGTCCACCTCGGCCAGGAGGGGAACAACAGGACCAGCCACGCCGCACCCTTCGGGGCGTCTGCCCGCCTCTCGCGGGCCCAGGGTTGCGCCCCCCAAAAAACGCTTCGGCACCCCTGGACGACCCCCCCGTTACCGCAGGCGACGGGGTTGGGAGAGTAAGAGAAAGAGGAAGGAGAAGACAGTCCTGCGTCAAGTGCACTGCTGAAGTACCGTGACGCAGGCGTTTCCACCGACACACACAGTGTCATGTGTGCAAGCGTGCGCTCGAAGCGCATATTCAAGTCAAACCTGGTGCGTATCAACACAGGTCTGAGCGTTGCAACCCAAATCCTGAATTCAGAGGTATTGCGATCGAAGTTGTGACGACAACATATCAAAATGATAGCAGAAGAACCATTCATTCACTGGGCGCTCCAAGCCCTTAGATATTATATCGATCGAGATTTCACATGTGACCAAAGTTGTTTTCGACAACTGATCAAAGCAATGATAGCGTAAACGTCATTGGTGAGGTTCTCCAGGCCTTAAAAGGCTTGTGAAGTAGATCCAACATAGTTTCAAGAGACTAAGATAAGTGACATGAGTCATGGGAAGCATGCATTGCATATGTCGTACTCTGTGTATCCGACATCCCATGGAAAATGAGGTTCATGATATGCTAAATCTTGCGGCGGGCGACCTGCCAGGGTGCGTTGATGCCCATGGTGTCGACAAAGTCCACATACGAAATCATACAAATTGTCTGGGACGTCATTCACTTTTAAGGTGAAGTCGATGCCATTGTGCTGACTCGCTTTGACCTCCGGTATAGGGCACCAATAACTTCCTTCAGTGTGAAGTGGAACGCCACAAACGTCGCCCACAAGGATCGTCGATCAAAGTGGGAAGGCACAGAGGTGATTTCTGACGTTTTTTTCGTTCTCCCGATCGGGCACGTCGAGCCTTTGATTGACGCTCTGAATCAATCTGCGAACTCCGAGAACAGTGGTGGAGCAGGGCATTGGATATTCGATCCTTTCGTGAAATGGATGGAGCGCGCTAAACTACATCGACCCACAAATAGGTTCTTCGACGGCAGCGCCGAGTCAGAGTACTAACTGCGTTGGCATCAGTCGCGTCTGCGGCGCACAGTTCGACACTTGCCCAGGCCAATGAGGGCTGCACAGAGGCTTGCTTCTATATTAAGTCATCGACCGGACTGTTTTCTACAGTTGAGTACGGTTTCTGTTGAAGTTCCGTGTTGCAGGATGTTTGCGACGCGCATGGTGCTCCAGCATAGTGCAAGCAGGACCCTCTATAGGCAAAGCCTAAGTGGGGCAGAAATAGAACTAGTACACCTCTGCTTGACTCTTTTGTTTCAGCGGCCAGCAAAACGTGATATGAGTCAATTGTCATCCCGTGGTGTTGTTTCTCTTTTAGCTCCGCCAATTTCCATACACCATTCCCTTATCTTGCTCTAAACTTGCCCAGCACAAGCAATATGTTGCACTAGTTCGACTGGCCGGCTAACTACTTCTTAGAATGCCAGGTTGCAGTTTCGTTTGTGTACCCCAGTGGAGGCACAAGGCATCACTGCTTTCTCTCGCCGCACCTTGCACCGCAGTGTTTTATTCTCTTCAGCATTGTCTGGCCCGAGAGGTTTCTACTCCCAGGCTGGCGGCCTACAGTCAATATCAACTACAGGCGCCGCTCGCTGTCCGCAAGTATGCAGACGATGCCAGAGACGAACTTTCGTGCTCACCTTGCCAAGACCAAGTTCTGCTCGTACTTCCACAGGGGGACGTGCCACTACGGTGATCAGTGCGCGTTCGCGCACTTTGCGAGCGAGCTCCAGAGCACGCCCAACCTGCAGAAGACGCGGCTACCGGAGCAAATAATTGAGATGTAATGCTGCGGGATGTTTCGACCAAAGTTTAGAAAGCGTCTATATAACAGCTCCGTTGACAGTTGGCAACAGCCTAATTCAAACAATCTATGATACAAGCGCAAGCACCAAACACCACACGTCCATGATTATAATGAGGAAGACCCCTTGCCCCCGCCCCTGCCATACGTCGTGTAGACAGTGTGTTCCCAGGTTGTGCGAGGCGTTCTTGAAAGGCTGCTGCCAGAAGACCGACTGCAAGTTTGCTCATGGCAAGCACGAGCTGATCACGGCGGAGTTGTTCCACAAGACTACCATGTGTTCCTGGCATGAGAAGGGCAAGTGCCGCTACGGGGACAGGCGCGTGTTGACAGAAGCTCTCTTTCCCCGTCCTTCCCTGATCCAACCTCCCCATTCACCCTCTTCAGCCTCATCTCCATTGATAGCGGTAGTCTATGGTGTTATATCTGTATACATACACACCAGATTGCAGTGGCGCTTCGCGCCATGCACCTTGGTCCTTGAAGTTCGGTATGCGGGCGGAATGGCAAGAAGGTCAAGTGGACAGTTTAGCGATTACTCCTTGTTGCTTTTCTAGCATCGCCGTTATAATAATGTTAGTCGTCATCCTTCCTCCATGCTTCTTCTTCATTCTCACCATACCCTGCGCATTCTCCCCATACTCCTCAGCTCCTTTTGCGGAGGCTTCTCCTTGGAGAGCCTCTGGGGCCGCACACAAGGTTTTCAGGCGTTCTTCAGGCCTTCTTGAGGCCTCCTGGGCGTGTTCTGGGGCCTCTGGGCGCTTGCTCGGGCCACCCTGCCTCCAACCGCGATCCCCCTGAACGACCAGGTCACGATTTGGAATGTTTCGGAGGACCACCTTGGGCCGCCATGGGGCTCTCTTAGGGCCATCTTGGGCCCCTGTTGTGCCGTTTTGGGGTTCTCTTGGATTGCCTGAAAACCTTTTCGGATGGTTGTGGGGCGATTTTGGAGCCTCCGAGGCGGCTTCGGACGTCCAGAAGACCGCCGTCTTGAGCGTGGGGAAGCCGAAAAGAGGAGAACCCCAACGTTCACCAAAACCCAAAGAAAATCCATGATTTTTGCTTGTCGGGGCCTTCTTGGGAATGCTCTTGGAGGCCTCTTGGGGCGTTTTGGAGCGATCTTTGGGGGTATGACGGCTTCTTGGGGGTCGTCGTGGACCGTATTGGGGCTTTTTGGGGTCGTTTCGGGAGCGCGCCGGAACGCTTGGAACCCGTCTGGGGCCCTTTTCGGGCTCTCGTGAGGTTCTTCCCGGTCGTCTGGAGGGATGCCCGGAGGCCCGGGGAGGGCCAAATTCGTTAGGGGTGTGGACCTTTCGCCGGAGTGACCTGGCCCAAAGGGTGTCGGGAGATTTTTTTTGTTGAATGAGCTTGACCTCGCGTCGGCACCCGCATCGCGTGATTACGCTCGCATCTGAGAGCGCCAGGTTTGGGCCCACCCCTTGCAATCGACAGCAACGCATACGCGTCGAACCCTACATTTTGCATTGGTTACTCGAGGACGAGCTGGTCGACCAGACGGCGCGTTTTCCGGCCCAGGACCAGTCCCGAATCCCAGCCCAAATCCCAAAATGTGTGGTTTGAATATATGTGGATATCTTTGAATATCTTTGAATACATTTTTTCGAGCCATTGGGGATCTTCATTATTATAAGTTACCCAAAGATATTCAAACATATTCTGGGCTCTCGGATGGGGCCGGTTTTGGCCATGGCGCCGGGCCTGGTCAGACGTCATCGCGATGCAGCCCGGCAGTGCCAGACCTCATCGCGGTGGCCCCCGCCAGCGTCTGCTTTCACAGGCCCTTTGAAGTGTCATTCGGGGCGCTCGAATTCAATCGGCGGAATTCCGCGGATGCCCGCTGGCGCAAAACATCTTTCGCGCGGCGCCCCGCCGATCGTTGATGCGGCGCGGCAACGCCGGCTTGTGCGATTGCGTTGGGCCCCCACGGGCGCCCCTGAGGCCGCGCACCAAAGGTCACTCTAGCCGAGGGTCACTCCTACGTGTAGTCGATGTGTGTAAGTGTGTGTGTGTGTGTGTGTCTGTGTGTGTGTCTGTGTGTCTGTGTGTCTGTGTGTCTGTGTGTCTGTGTGTCTGTGTGTCTGTGTGTCTGTGTGTCTGTGTGTCTGTGTGTCTGTGTCTGTGGGTCTGTGTGTCTGTGTGCTGTGTCTGTGTCTGCGTCTGTGTCTATGTTTGCGTGCGTTTTTTCCGGCGTCCCCGGCCCTAGAATCTACGAGCCGATGGATATATAATATATATATATATATATATATATATATATATATATATATATATGTACATACGTAGCACCCCGCAGTTGCGGATCAGAGTAAGGGGGCGGCGGGGAAGTCGGCAGTCTGCGAGGTTTCGAAGAAGCCCGCCGCAGCCAACCCGCCGCAGGCGCCGATGTTTTGGTAAAAACAATGTAGGTGGGCCGCGAGTTGGGTCGCAGGTGGGTCGCGGGTGGGTCAATGAACGTGTTCAGACACAGCCCCGCCGCAGGCGCCGATGTGCTGTTGTAGAGTCAGCGTAGGCCAGATCGGGGGAATGGCACGAGGGCGCTTTCCCAAACCAGTGCGAGCAAGCCCGCCGCAGGCGCCGATTTGCGTGCTCTGACAAGTTCAGCACGGGGGGGATCGCTGGTGGGCCACCCGGAACGAATGCAAAAACAGGCCGCCGCTGGCGCCGAATTTTTTGGCCTGTTCAGTGAACGTAGTGTGGGTCGCGGGTGGGTCGCGGGCTCTCCACATCCACCTGGGAGGAATTCAAAAACAGCCCGCCGCAGTCGCCGAAAGTTTCGATTTGTTCACTGAACGCGGTTTGGGTCGCAGGTTCTCCACCTGGAGCGAATGCAGAAGAAACCCGCCGCAGGCGCCGAAACTTTCGCCGCTCTTTGAACGTAGTTTGGATCGCGGGTGGGTCGCGGGCTCTCCACATCCACTTGGAAGGGATTCAAAAACAACCCGCCGCAGGCGCCGAAAATTTTGATTTGTTCACTGAGCGTTGTTTTGGTCGCGGGTGGGTCGCAGGTTTTCCACTTGGAACGAATGCAGAAGAACCCCGCCGCACGCGCCGAAAATGTTGGGTGCGTCGCGGGGTGGGTCGCGGGTGGGTCGCGGGTGGGTCGCGGTGGGTCGCGGGTGGGTCGCGGGTGGGTCGCGGGTGGGTCGTGGGGTGGGTCGCGGGTTGGGTCGCGGGTGGGTCGCAGGGTGGGTCGCAAGGTGGGTCGCGGGTGGGTCGCGGGGTGGGTCGCGGGTTGGTCGCGGGCGGGTCGCGGGTGGGACGACGACAATTTCAAACAACAAACGACAAACAACAACAAACAACAACTGACAACAACAACACGAAAAATCCGCATCGTGGAATTCCACTTCAACCACGCACCCAGGGGCAGTGAATGACCGTTCGGTTCAGCCCCTCTCTCTCTCTCCTTCTCTCTCCTTAGATCTATATATATATATATACACATTCACCCGCGTATACACACATTTATATATATATACATTTATAATTATATACATTTGTGTATGTGTATATATATATATGTATATATACACATATATATGTGCGCGTGTGTGGTAAGAGCCGCTCTTGTGATCCACGTGTGCTGGTTTTCTGCTCAGCGAAATGTGAACGCGACGCGCTTGGTTACAACCTTATTTCCTGTACATTATCCTTTTGTACGGACTTACGAATTGATTCCTGTTGCGCGGCCATCGAATGGAATCACTTTGCGCTTGGCTCGGAGGGAGGGGGGGAAGCCTGGCCGACGAACATACAAAGATTGTGTCAAAAAAACGCTGCGTTGTTATACTTAAGGTTGCTTGTAACCGTGAACAAGTAGACATCAAACATACAATTTGGAAGCAACGCAAACCCATAGTTTCATAGCTTTTGGGCATTTACACACTGATTCCTGTTATGCGGCCTTCAAATGGAATCCCCTGCGCCTGGCTCGGGGGAGAGGGGGGGTGCCGGCCGACAAAAAAAAACACGCAATACAAGATGGGTGATGAACAAACTCTGCGGTTTTATGTGTACATGTGTTTTTTCCGTGTAAGCCAAGAAGGAACGCCACAAAGACAATTTGGACGCAACGAAAACCTGTATTTTCACAATGTTTGGGCATTTACAAATGTGTTCATATCGCGTGGCCTTCAAATGGCATCCCTTTGCGCCTGGCTCGGGGGGAGAGGGCGGCAGCCTGGCCGACGAAAAAGACAAAGACAGTCTGGTGTATAAAAAACGAAACGCTTGTACTTGCGATTTTGTTTTTAATTGTAAGCCACAAAACACCCAAAAGACAATTTGGAAACAACGAATACGTGTATTTTCAAATTGTTTGGGCATTTACAATTTGGTTCCTCCGTGTGTGGCCTTCAAATGGAATCCCTTTGCGCCTGGCTCGGTGGAAAGGGGGGGGGCAGGCCGACGAAAAATACACAAACGACACAAAAGACAATCTGGGGGACAACAAGCGCTGTGCTTTTATGTGCACATTGCTTTCTATTTGTAAACCAACAAACACCAAACAAACAATCTGGAAGCAACGGAAACATGTTTTCACAATGTTTGGGCATTTGCACATTGTTTCCTGTTGCGCGGCCTTCACATGAAATCCTTTCGCGCCTGGCTCCGGGGGAGAGGGGGGGGTGGCCGACGAAAAAGGCAAAACAGACACAAAAAGACAACATCATGGGGTACAAACGACGCTGTGCTTGTATGTGTAGATCGGTTTCTACTTGCAAACCAAAACAACACCAAACAAACAATCTGAAAGCAATGAGAACCTGCATGTTCACAGCTTTTGGGCATTTGCACATTGATCCCCGTTGCGATGCCGCGAAACATAATTCCCTAATAACCTACAAAGGGATAATGCTTGTTGGCCGTACGATCGGAAATCAATGTGTAAATGTCTTTGTGGGACTCTACACATTGCTTCCTATTAAGGGATTATGTTCGGTGGCCTTGCAAAGGGAATCAATTTGGAAATGCCAAACACTAGAACTACATGTTTGCTTCCATATTGTTTTGTTGTGGTGTTTTCGGGTTTACACTTACAAACCGGTTACACAACAAAACGCAGCGTGTTTGGGCCCCCCCCCAGTTTATATATATATATGTATATATATATATATATATATATATATATATATATATGTATTTCTCTCTCTCTCTCTTGTTTTTTTCGTCGGCCAGCCCCCCCCCCTCCCCCCGAGCCAGGCGCAACGGTATTCCATTCGAAGGCCGCACCATAGAGGTAGGTAGAGGTAGGTACAATAGGAGCCAATGTGCAAATGCCAAAACAGTGCCAAAATACAAGTTTTCGTTGTTTCCAGGTCATTTTGGCGGCTGTTGGTTTACATGTACAAACACACAATTGAAAACGCAACGTTTTTTGTCCCCCAGATTATCTTGTTTGTCGTGTTTGTCTTGTTTAATGTTTTCGTCGGCCAGGCCCCCCGCTTCCCCCCGAGCCAGGCGCAACGTGATTCCATTTGAAGGCAGCAGTAGGAATCAACTTGTGAGTCTGTGCAGCAGAATTTCATTTGTTCCCCACACAGTGGGAAAGGTTTCGTAGTACCCCACAAAAGGATTCCATGGGACAGCCGCACAATACATTGGAATCAATTCGCAATTCTGTACAAAAGAATTGCAAGTGTATCCTACACTGTAGGCATCGATTTGTAGAGTCCCACAAAGGCATTTACATATTGATGTCCGCTTGTGCGGCCATCAAACAGACTCATTTTGTGGGACTCGATACTTTGATTCCTAGTCAGGAATTCTGTTTCGTGGCCTCGCGATGGGGATCAGTTTGTAAATGCCCAAACACTGTGACATTCAGGTTTTCGCTGCTGACATACAGCCAGCCCGGATTAGTAGGTCGACCCTGCCAGCTCAAGGGTACTTTTTTGTCCTGTGCCTCGCGACACGTGCCTTCTTACACTCCTACGGCGATGTGGCCTTCGGAAGGGTCTTTTGTCCTCTCGCGTGTACTGTCCAATCATGGCCGGCTGTATTGTCTTTTGGATGTTGTTGTTGGTGTGCAAGGAAAAACCGATGTACACATAAAAACACAGTTTGTTTTGTCCCCCCAGGTAGTCTTTTTTTGTCTTGTTTGTCTTTTTCGTCGGCCAGGCCCCCCCCCACCTCTACCCCCGAGCCAGGCGCAAAGGGATTCCATTTGAAGGCCGCACAATGGGAATCAATGTGTAAATGCCCAAACATTCTGAAACTACAGGTTTTCGTTGCTTCCAGATTGTCTTGTTGGTGGCTCTTGGTTTACAAGTAGAAACACCATTGCACATACAAACGCAGCGCTTGTTGTCACCCAGATTGTCCTGTTTTGTCTTTTTTGTATTTTTCGTCGGTCAGGCCCCACCCCTCTCCCCCCGAGCCAGGCGCAAAGTGATTCCATTTGAAGGCCGCGCAATAGGAATCAAGGTGTAAGTGTGCACAGAGGATATCGTGCAGGAACTAATGTTGTAACCAAGCGCATCGCGTTCACATTTCGCAAAAGCAGTTTGCGGTGCGCTTCTCATCGAGTGCCTCCTCCGACGAAGCTGTCCTGATGGCAAGAGCAAGCCAACTTGAGCCAAGAGGGGCTACGGAAGCGGGAGGGTTACAGAGGGGGAACACGAACCGACAAATCAAACCGTCAACCCAGAGACGCCCCCCAGAACGCCTAAGCCCCAAGAGGCTCCCACGAAGCCCCTAAGAGTCCCCCAGGCGGCCCCCAAGAGGCTTCAAAACTGCCTCCAAGAGGCCCCCGAGAAGCCTCACACGATACCTCAACCATCATCATCACCACCATTTGCATCGTCTTCTTCATCATCATCGTCATCGTCATCGTCATCGTCATCGTCGTCATCATCATCATCATTGGTATCATGTTGTTCATCCCTCACGAGTGCCGTCTCCAGTCCCCCCTCGAACGAGAGCCGCCGAGCATGCTAGAATAGCGCACTGGCAGGACTTGCCGCAGGCAGCTAAATAATAAACAGGCGGTCCGAAAGAGAAGTTGCATAACTGAAATGAGGAAGGAAAGCGTATGGAACAACAACCACCAGAAAGGTGGATCACAGGAACGGCTGGTAGCATACATATATATATATGTATGTATGTACATGTAAGTTCCACGTCATACTCGGTGTTGCTCAAGCTTCAGCACCCTTTCTGGATCGATGATATCAGAATTCAGACCCGCGCTCGCTGCTATTCGCTGTGTGTGTTCCCTTGTACTCCAGAGGACTGGAGAGAGGAGCCTAATGAACTCAACAGGAATATGTTCAGATTGTCCCGCAGCTTTCGCGATGATATCCAATGCGGATGCGGCGTGAGAGTGAGTAAGCCTTTGGTGATACGCCCGGGTCGCTTGCGAGGGCGGCGCTTGCTTGCTGCACAATCAACTCCAAGCCGAAGAGGCACCCTGACGACACTAAAGCTGCCATGATGCAATACGTCCGCGTCGGCAACACCAAGCCGGATTGTGGCAGCGCTGCCCTTGTGTGCCCGCAGAGGTGCCGCTTCGCTCATGGCGGCGACGAGCTGCGGCCGCCGCAGCCGCACCAGCTCAAGTCGCAGAGCGGCGCGTCCGTGGACGGGGACTCCTCGTCCAAGTCCGAGACCAGCACCGACCTTAGTGGGCTTTGGAAGCGGCAGGGCTGTGTTTTTTACCGATTCCGTTGTTCTGTTTGTTTGTCGTGTTCAGTAGCCGTTGTTTCTTTGTTGCCGGTTCCGATCCTGGCGCCGTGTTCTACCCCTTCTCGGTGTGCAGTTTTTGTTTTTGTCGCAGTTCGCCGAATCGGGAGCCAGATACTGTGGAAATGGAACACATGATCACCGAACTTGTTGATAACGGTAAGCGATCCAGCAGGCATCGATTCTGGGTTTCTTGATAAGCGTGGGGGTTGTGCCCCCCCCGACTGGGGTCAACCTCGCCTCGTCGTCGCGCCGCGAGGGGGCCCGGAGCGCCTTCGGCGCGCGGTGGCTGCCCGCGGCGGGGGTCGATGTGGGGCTGTCGGCGGGGGTGACGCCCCCCCGACGCTTATTAAGAAACTCGGAACCACCGTGCTTGACCATGGCCATCATGGGCCCCCACGAGGCTGCACACAGAGCTTCCCGACCTCGGACTCATGGTCGGTATCGTTTAACCGATCCCCGTTCCCATCCCCATCCCCTTCGAGGCCCCCACCAAACTATCCCCCCGGTTGGGGATACATCCCTCGCAACCCGAAGGGGACGGCCTGTGTCCCCATCTTGGGGGGTAAATCGGCCAGTGGGGCCCAGGCCACGCCGCTGGGAATGGGGATCGGTTAAACGATATTCACACGGGGCGCACGCACCATGCATGGCAGGGCCCCGGGACGGGCTTGGTCAGGCACGGTGGTGGTGCACCGATGTTCCCAGACCCCCTCGAGTAATGAAAAATTCACGATGGGTGGTTTTCTACAGTTTTCGGCCTCTGGGGACCCTTAGTGGGCCTCGGGACCGTCGAAAAACGACTCTGGATGAAAAATAGGTCCCGGGGAACAGGTCGAAGCCTCTGGGGGTCGACGTCATGAAACAAATCATGACGTCGGAGGTCTGGGTTTCCTGCGCTAGTCAGGTCGGACGGGGCTAGGACGAGGATAAATCCGTTCCAGAGCGTTCCGGAGCGCTCTCAGAGCGATCGGGAACGCTCCGAGAAGTCCGCGGCGCCAGATAAGTCCTCCAGCGCCGCCAGATCTCAGCGATTCTCGATATGTCCCCACCCGACTGTATTCTTATCGTGGCCTCGTCTTAGTGTCCAGACCCCGACGTCATATTTTTTCATGACGTCGACCTCCAGAGGCTTCGACCTATTCCCCAGACTGGTTGTTCCTCCTGAGTCGTGTCTTGGCGGCTCCGAGGCCCAGGGCAAGGGCCCCCCGGAGGCCAGAAGTGGCGACAATTTAGACCCGCCCGTCCCTGACCTCCCAGAGTGCGAAAAACATAGCCCTCCAGACCTGCATACCTATCTGGGCTGCCCAAAACTTCGACAGGACTTTCGACGCCAAGGTCCTGGTGCTAATTTTCAGCCCTCGTGTTATGACGTTTCAACCGACTTTAGCCTTGATCACCAGACTGAATTTCGAGCACCAAGAGAGTACCCAAAACATTCGAGGTTTGTTACGCGTCGGGCCTTGGGAGGCATTCGCCCGACACTGTTTCGACACTCTTTCGACAGTCTGTCGACACGTCTCTGGG